TATATATATATATATGTTTTTTATTCATAAGTTCGGTATTATAAAGTACAAAATGCTAACCTGTAATTTATTTCTTTTGAAGCATAATGGAAAACTTTGATAAATATCGGAAGAAGTTTTACCAAATAAACCTCAAGTGTATATCGATTTTGAGCCTAAACTCTGGCTTGAATTTGAGAGGTGACAATGCTGCAATTAATTTTTATAACGAGTATGCAAGAAGGATTGGTTTTAGTACTTGTAAAGAATATGTGAACACAAATAAGAAACTGGAATATGTAACGTCAAGAAAGATTGCATGTTTCAAAGAAGGTTTTCGTGGAGATGATAAACGAAGAACACAAGTTAAAAAAATTCACGGAGATTAACTAGAATTGGATGTCAAGCTCATGTTGTTATTACGCGTCAACCTTTCGGAAAATATCGAACTAGTAAGGTTGACGTAAAACACAATAATTCACTTCTCCCACCATCAATGATTCATATGTTGCCGCCTCATAGAAAAATAAATGAGGCACGAGCTCATGAAATCGATTTGGCAGAAGATGCTGGATTGATGTCTAAAGCAACCTTTGATTTCATGAGTCTTTAAGCGGGTGGTCGAGAAAGTTTGGGCTACACTAGGCAATATCAAAAGAATTATCTTCGAACGAATAGGCAAAAAGCTATGAAAGAAGGTGAAGCAGGTAATATATTTTTCCATAATGTACTATAATACTCGTAGTCATATTACAATTCTGAAGCTTATTTTATTAGTTTGGAAGATACACATATTTATTTTTCTTATTTTTTTCTTCTTCATTCAGGTGCATTATTAGAGTATTTTGAGAAGAGAATTGAAGATCCATCTTTCTTTTTTCCGGTGCAGTTAGATGTTGATGATATGATCACAAATATCTTTTGGACAAATTCGAAGATGATCATGGACTATAAAATTTCTGAAGATATGCTCTCGTTTGATATTAGTTATCAAACAAATAAGGAATATGGGCCACTTGCTAGCTTTGTGGGATGGAATAACCATAGAAAAATGGTAATTTTTGGAGGTGCATTGATGTATGATGAGACTGGTGAATCTTTTCAGTGGTTGTTTGAAACATTTCTTAGAGCGATGTCTAGAAAAAGACCATGTGCAATTTTCACACATCAAGAGTAAGGCCATTTCAATTGTCATGCATGAAGTTCATCATAGATTATGTGTTTGGCACATGGAGCAAAATGCAACTAAACACCTCAATCAAGTATATAAAAAGTATGCCTCTTTTCGTGGTGATTTCAGAAAATGCATTTATGAATACGAGGATGAAGAAGAATTTATAGATGCATGAAATAATATGCTTGATAGATAGTCTTCACGAAAATAAATGGTTGCAAGGAATATATGCGGAAAAATTATTTGAAGCATACGAAAGAATTTTTTTTCAGGTGGTATGAACAGCACACAATTGAGTGAGAGCTTGAACAGTGATTTAAAAGATTACTATAATCTAGTGCAATTTTTCAAGCATTACGATCGCGCCAATGAGGAGAAACGGTATAATGAGCTACAGGATACTTGTGATGCATCACAACGATTGCCGGTGCTAAAAGTAGATGTACCCATTTTGGCTCATGCTAGGGAGTTATATACACCAAATATTTTTGAAAAATTGCAAGATAATATATGAGATCTTTGTCAATTAGAGTGAATGAATGTGAAAAAAATAATTCATTAATCATGCATATGGTTAGCAAACATGGGCACACTCGAGAACCAATTGTCAAGGTGGGAGAGGTAAGCGATACAATATATTGTTCTTGCAAGAAGTTTGAGTTCATAGGTATACTTTGTCGTCATATTATAAGAATTTTTGATGTGGCAAGAGGAGTTACAAGAATTCCTTCAGAGTACATATTAAAAAGGTGGATGAAAAATGCAAAGGTTGATGACATAAGGGAAATTGATGGGCAAGACATAGAAAAAGATCCGAAGTTGATGTGAATGCACCGCTATAAATTCCTTTGTCCGGTGTTTGTTAGAATAGCAGCAAAAGCTTCTGAAACAGATGTAGGTTTTAAGTTAGTTATGACATATGCAAATGAACCGAGTTCAATAGTGGAACAAGTTATGAAGGTTACAAGTCCATCTAGCGGTAGTTAGGTAAGGAGCACACAAGAAGAATATAATAAGAAGGACAAGGGCAAAAAAAGTTGCATGGTGATGGGTTGCATGGTGATGGGTTGCATCATACAAAAGGGAGGATTAAAACTTCTCTTGAGTTGAATTCAAAGCAGAAGAAAGCTCGGGGGGAAAAAAGTCGACTAACCAATTCAACTCAATTCTTTTCTAAGCTTTTAAATTGAAAAACAAACAAATCAAATCTTATCCAAGCTTTTGCATAGGAAAGAAAAACTCCAACGATGAAAACAATACCTCGATATTTTGGTGAAGTATAAGAAAATATGAGCGGAAGCTCTTTTTTTTGGTCTATTATTGAATTAAACACTAAATAAAATATATAAAATTTTATAGTAAGAAAATTAATATAAAATAACAGGGTAGAGATAGTGTGAGAGAATATAATTCGACATAAATTAATAAATAAAATAAAGATAATCAATAAATAATACTGAATATTATCATTAATAAATTTAAATATTAGTTAGAAGATTGTAGTTACCAAATTCAAAGGGATACTCACATGCATACATTACCAGTTTACAACCACATGCTCATATTCTGTCCTCCTATTCCTGCTTGGCTATATAGTGGCCTTTCTTGGGGCATATTGCTCATCACCAATTCTGAGTTTTTCTCTCAAGAAAGGAAAAGAACAATCACCATGGATGCTTCAAAAACTAATAATCACACCCGTTCAATCAGTTCATCATCAAGTTCACATTTAAGCACACTCTAAGAGTGGAAGAGGAGCTCAACAAGCTCAAAACATTGGAAACAGCAGTTGGTGCAACTACTGAGACAATTTGCTATAGCCTACTTGGTTTGGAGGAATTATACAAGTACATAGATGATCTCAACTTGCCAATAACCTTTCAAGCCCTCTCTCCCTGTAAACATGAGAAATTGGTCGAAGATTTATTGGACAAGTCGGTGAGGCCACTCGATGTTTGTGGCACCACAAAGGAACTTGTCTCCCAGTGTAAAGAAAACGTAAGAGATCTATAATCCTCTCTCAGAATGAGAAAAGGAGATTTGAGTACAGAATCCGACATTGCAGATTCACTTCTTTCAGCAAGAAGATGAAGAAGCATGTCAAAACATTAGTCTCTGCTTTGAAATAAAAGAATAAGGAGATTGTAATTGTTGCGAAATGTCAGATGTATATAGTGTGAATAAGTCATAACTACTATACCAAAAATTATGACAGCCACCAAATAATAAATAAGACAATAAAACAACAATAAAGGGAACACCAGAATTTACGAGGTTCGGCTAATTTTGCCTACTCCTCGGACACAACCAATATTTTATTTCACTCCAAAAATACAAGTGAAATAATACTAAAGAGAGAAGATACAAATGCCTTAAACAGATGAGAAGGCAAATGAGAGGTGTGTTTCAATCCTAAACATTAGGCCTTCTTTTATAGGGGAAAAATCCCCTCCAAACTTAACTCCCAACCAATGTGGGACTTTGGCATTTTGCCAAACTTCAACAAATCTCCACCTTGGCAAAATTCCACATTTTCAATTCTCTCTCAATAACAAATTTTGGTTGTGTCTTCATCTTCAATCTTCAGTGTTCAACAATGTTGATCAAATCCAAACAATGTTGAAACTTGACCGCAGTCACCACCTTTGTCAGCATATCAGCAGGATTCTCTGTAGTATGAATTTTCTTCACCGTGACTCCACCTTCTTCTATGATTTCTCGTACGAAATGATACCGAACATCAATGTGCTTCGTCCTTGCATGATAAACTTGGTTCTTCGCTAATTGAATAGCACTTTGACTATCACAAAAAATTGTGATACCTTTTTGTTCAACACCAAGCTCCTTTAGCAATCCTTGAAGCCAAATTGCCTCTTTCACAGCCTCTGTAATAGCCATGTACTCAGCCTCTGTTGTAGACAAAGCAACTGTTGACTGCAAAGTAGCCTTCCAACTAACTGGTGCCTTTGCTAAAGTAAACACATAACCAGTAGTTGATCGTCGTTTGTCCAGATCACCCGCAAAATCTGAGTCA